TGTAGGTCTATTTTGATGCCAATACTATGCTGTTTGCTACTGTAGCTTCATAGTATAATTGGAGATCAGATATTGTGAAGTTTTCAGCATCACTCTTCTTGGTCAAGATTGCTTTGGCTATTCTGTCTTTTGTTCTTCCAAATGAATTTTAAGACTGTATTTTCTGTGAAGAATGTCATTGATCTTTGATGGCAGAATGCCAGCTTACTGATGGAAAGTAGTGTGTAAAAAGGAGTAAAAGCCTTGACTTAGAAATTTTGTTAATTCCTTTACTGTAAATATTTCCATAGTGGCTGATTTCAACCTATAATTCATTTGATAACAGGCTTGACAAATTCTTAAACATTTTCATAAGATTTGTTAGTCAGTCTGGGCCAGTCACCAGCACACCACTGAACAGCTACTACGTAAAGATACTGGATTTGTATGTTGCAATAATGATGATAATTTTCCTGCAATGCCTTCATTCAATTGAAGCTCATCTGTTAAGTTATCATGTCTATGTAAAGACTTAAAAGGCAATAGTGGTTATAATTTTAAGTCATAACTTTGAAAAGCTCATAAAAGCTGTAAGCATTCTCCTATAGAAGGAAAAGTACACATTCAAATCCTATAATACAATTTTGGAAGAACATTGGGCTTCCTGATATTTCTTCATGGGACTCAGATTTACCATTTCTTTTATTTTTTCAGGTTGGATAAACTAATATGGCAAGCACCCTTTTTCTTTCTTCTATCTGTAATTTTTATTGGTACCTTATAATTACATATGATAGCATTAATTATGATATATTCATACATGTACAATGCATTATTTGGTCTCTTTTATTTCCCCATAACTATATTTCCCTCCCTTCATCCCCATCCTCTCATCTACTGGTCATTCTTGTATGTTCTTGTACATACATGAAGTCCCTTTATTTTTTTTTCCTCTCTAGCTGCTAAATGAGAGAAAACATATGACCCTTGACTTTCTGAATCTGGCTAATCTCACTTAGCATAATGTTCTCAAATTCCATCCATTTTCCTTCAAATGACATAATTTTCTTATGGCTACTGAAACTCTATTGTGTATACAAACCACATTTTCTATATGCATTCATCTGTTGATGGAGATGGGGGCTGGTTCCAAAACGTGATAATTGTGAATTGTGGTGTCATAATCATAGCTGTGCATTTGTGATTATAGTTATGGTATCTTTAAATCTTTTGGATAAACACCTGGAGTGGTACAGCTGGGTCATATAGTGGTTCCATCTTAAGTCTTTTGAGGAACCTACATTTGGATGTTCACAGTGGTTGTGGTCATTTTAAATCAACATTGTGTTAGTGTTCCTTTAACCCCATATCCTTGCTAGCATTTTTTATTATTGTGTTATTGATGATTGCTATTCTGAGCAGAGAGAGAATCTCAATGTAGCTTTTCAAAATCTTTGTATTAGTGCATCATAGTTATACATATAACATAGCAATATAGTTTTGCATTTTCTGATGGCTAAAGATGGTGATAATTTTTTTTACCATTTTTTGGGGGGTCATTTGTGTTTCTGCTTTTGAGAAAGGTCTGTTTAGTTCATTTGTCAATTTATTGAGTGGGCTATTTGTTAGTTTTTTTCTTAGATTGTCTGAATGTTTTATATAGTCTAAATATTCATCCTCTGTTGGAAGAATACCTGGCAAACAACTTTTCCCATTCTGAAGGCTCTTTCTTTGTGAGCTTAATCATTTCCTTTGCAGAAGTTTTAGTTTGAATGCTATTCAATTTATTAATCCTTGGTTTTCCTTCCTGAGCTTTAGAGGTTTTATTGAGGAAGTTGATGCCTGTTCCTATATGATAGAGCAGACTTCTAGCTGCTATAAAATTTCTGCTCTAGTTCCTGGGTCTTTGATCCACTCTGACTTGTATGCAGGGTGGGAGATGAGAATGTAGTTTTATTCTTCTATATTGATTTTCAGTTTTCCCAGGACCATTTGTTTAAAAGGCTCTCTTTTTCTTTAACATGTGCTTTTGGTGCCTTATTCAAGGATCTGGTAACTTAAACTATGTTGGTTTGCCTGTTTTCTAGTTAATTCCATTGCTCTACATGTCTATGCCAGTGCCATGCAACTTTTGTCTCTATAGCCCTGTAGTATAATTTGAAGTTGGAAATTGTGATGTCTCCAGCATTTTTCTTATTGCTCAGCTTTGCTTTGAATATTTTGGGTCTTTTATATTTCTATATAAATTTTAGGACTTTTTGGTTTTTGTAGTTCTATCATTACCACGAATGCCACTGATAACATTATGGAAATTGCACTGAATGTATAAATCACTTTTATTAAGTTGGCCATTCTACCAATATTAATTCTGCCTGCCCAGGAATATAGGAGATGTTCTTATTATTTAGTGTCTCCTTCAATTTCTTTCTTTTGTGTTCTATAATTTTCCCTGCAGCAGTCTTTCACCTCCTTGGCTAGATTTATTGGTATTTATTTTTTAAGGCTATTGTGAATGGAATTTTTTTCTGCTGTCTTTATCAGCAGACACATTATTGGTGTGTATATAAAAGCTATTGAATTATATATTGATTTTGTATACTACTTTGCTTTAATTTTAATCAGCTCTAGAAATCCTCTGCTGAAGCCATTAGGATTATCTAAGTACAGGATCATATCATCTACAAATAGCCATGTATTTGACTTCTTTATCACTAAATCCATTTTATTTCTCTTGCCTAATTTCTCTGACTAAAATTTCAAGTACTATATTGAAGACAAGTAGTGAGAGTGGACCTCCTTTTCTGGTTCCAAATTTTAAAGAAAATGCTTTGTTTTTGTTTTTTTTTTCTTTCCCGTATACTATAATGTTGCCTTTGGGTTTGTCCCTATTTAACTTTTGTGATGTTTAGAGAAGTTCCTTCTAGCTCTAGTTTTTTAGTCTTTTTAACACAAATTGGTGCAAATTTTGTCAAAGGCTTTTTTTTCTGTATCTAATGCCATGGTCATATGATTTTTGTCCTTAATTATGCAGCTTTGAAATCCAGAGGATTATCGAGGATCTCTTCATAAACTTGTATGCCAGTAAATCCAAAAATCTAGAAGAAATTAATAGGTTTCTAGACATATGACCTACCCAAATGTAACCAAGAAAATGGTAAAAAACCTAAAGAGACTGATATTAAGCAATAAGACTGTAACAGTCATAAAAACCATCCAAGAAAACCTGGCATCAGATGGATTCCCAGCTGAATTCTACAGGATCCTTAAAGAATTAATGCCAATGCTTCTCAAATTGTTTCAAGAAATAGGTGGGTTGGGGGTAACACTCCCATGTTTATTCTATATAACCCGATTCACTCTTATACTAAATTATTAGCTTCAGAATCCGTGGTTTCTTTTTCTGTTCATGCACTGACAGCAGTAGTACTTTTAGTCCTGGTCATTAGAGGTTGATATTAAAGATATTAACCTTAGTAGATTCTCTTTCAGAATGGTTCCACTGTAAAAAGCACAAGGAAAATTTACTTTTCCTCATATCTGAGATTTGTTTTTGAGTGTTTGCAATTCTTGAGCATTATTATGTTCACCATGATAAAACCATCACTGGAGAATTCTGATTCATAAAGGTTGGATTGTAATTGGCAAGGAGGATTTTTTAAAAATATTGAATCACTTTGGATATGTTTATTATATTGTAAATGATATCAGATACAATACTCCCATTTATCAATGGGATTGTTCATGTAATTTACAGGCCATTCAAAAACTAAATGTTAGAACTAGCATGATTCAGCATCAGTAAGTCCATTCATACACCACAGACCAAATGACCAGTTGAAGTCCAGGTATCCCTAAGAAAAACACAACCTTAATCTTCTGGCTCTTAATTGGTTCCGTCTGGAATTGTCCTATTGCTCAATACATTGAAATGTGAAACAAACTCGCTTGATGACATATTTATTAAACACCTACCATTGTGATACAATGCTAGGATTCCAGTAAGAGAAAAATAATGAACACAAGATACTTCATGCCTTTTACAAACTAACATTCTTGCCAAGCAATACTATAGATCACTGAAATCAAGTGGAGACAAAGCTTAACAAATGAAGTCAGATACATATTTACTTGAAAAAAATCAAGCAAGGTCCATGGAAGGAAGTACCATATTCAAGTGAACACTGAGGGACAGGTAGGAGAGAAACAGATGGAAATTGGAGATAAAGAAGGTATTCTAAGTGGAAGGTGTTTGTTTTAGTCAGCTTTCTCACTGCTGTGATTTCAAGATTCACCAGCACAATTGTAGAGGAAGAAAAGTTCATCTGAGAGCTCATAGTTTCAGAGGTCAATGGAGGGCTCCATTCTTCTGGGCTGGAGGTGAGACAGGACATCAGGAGAGTGTGTTGGAAGGAAGCAGCTAACATCACAGTGATCAGGAAGCAGAGAGACACCACTCACCAGATACAAATATATACCCAAGAGCCACGCCCCAATTCCCATCTCCTCTGGCCAGACACACCCTACCACTTTGGTTAATCGCATCAGGGATTAATTCACTGGTTAGGCTAAAGGCTATGACCCAATCATTTCTCCTCCAAACTTTCTTGCATTGTCTCACACAGGAGCTTTCTGGGGATACTACATCTAAATCTTAACAGTATTCTATGTGCAAAGATGAGCAGGTTGGGAAATCTATAGGCTACATCCTCATAAGAGTAGAAAATAATCTACTTTGAATGGGATATACATTACTTGTGGTAGAATAATGGAAGATGAGTCCAGGAAGCCAATTTTTTGCCTCTATTATATGAGTGCAGAGCATTATTTAGGTGATGAAGGACTGAGTGTGTTGAAGTCATGATTTTGGGACCAGTAGATGACTTTTAATTTGTCTGTGTCCCAAGATAATAGACCATACCTCTGTCTGTATATGAAACAAGATGTTAGAAATCCAAGTTTGGACCAAATTATAAACACGACTAAGATTTTCTTTGGTGGAGTTTAGATCATTTTCAACCTACCTCCACACCTTCTCTCTCTTCCTATCCCATTCTTTTCTAAATTGAACTTGTGTCTGATCCCATTGTCAGTGATGAGTGGACTGATAATGAGTTGGAGACTGGGGTCCAGGGCTAACTGCTCTAAGGGCATTCCCATGTCATCCAGGGAACTCTTAATCTGAAAGGTTTCAGGACTCTAAGGAGTAAAATTATTATAGCGGTATGTGAGTCAAATAGATCATGCATATGGTCTTCTCACCTCATGAAGAGTGGAATAACACTTATGTGTCTTCCTTCCAGGGCCCCTAGCAGCCATTGGCTATAAGCAACATCCTGACTCAGTGTAGGTGACTTGGGACAAACCAATCCTCACAGTGGAAATTGTCCACACTAAGGCCAGCCATGCTTTGCCAGTCATGTCATCATGAAACCAGAAGAGACATGAGGCACTTAGGATGATGCAAAGATGACTACATATCTGAAAGCTCTTCAGTTTAGACCCAGATCCAGGACTGAGTTTCACAAACGTTAACAAAGTACTAGGTACAGATTCATGAGTTCTCAGCACCATTTTATCTTCCTGTCATCACATGAGGAGGCAGAGATTATAGCCTGACCCTCCCTGCACTGCGGAGACATGGAGGAATGCACCTCAAAGATAAAAGGTGCCTTGTAGAGGTGGCATCTCTGAGAGTCCCTTTCATGGGGACGGTTCAGAGCTGAGAGTTGCAGATGGATGACTGTCAAGGCAGCTGGGGACCTGTGTCTTCAAAAGGTGGCGATTTGTCAGCAAGATGTTCTGCTGGCCTGCTGGCTTCCGTGAGTGATGCTGGGAGTACCATCTTTTGCAGGAAGGAGAGATCACTTTCTGAAATGATTCCTGAAAGCGGCAAGACAGCAGGCTATAGATGACAGGCTTGACAGCTGAGCTCAGGTAGAAGAAGACACCTGGAATAAGGGAGAGACGTGTGGAGAAACTGAGTGAGAGGCCCATTAGGCTGGAAGCATGAATATTTAACAAAGACCTGGAGTCCCTGGTGTTGGCTCTTTTGGAAGTGATGATATATACAAGACTTTCTTTGAGAATGCAAAAGGCTCTGAACTGATCTACCACCTGTGCACTTAGGACTCAAACATAAAAATTGCAATCCTCAAAAAGTTTAGGCTGGCACAGGATCTCTCTTAGATAGTAACTTCCTTTGATCCCTACATAAAGAAAATGTTCCTATAACATTAATAAAAGATGTTTAAGAATTAGAGAAAAAAATTTTTCTCATTGTAATTTTACTTAAATCTATAATTTGAAGCTGCAAGTGATGGAGGAAGGGTAAATCTACCAAGGATTAGTTCCTGCTGAGATTCCTGAAAAGCTCTTTTTTTTTTATTGTAGTTGTTGATGGACCTTTATATTATTTATTTATATGTGGTGCTGAGAATCAACCTAGTGTCTCACACATGCTAGACCAGTGCTCTACCACTGAGCCACAACTCCAGCCCACACTGAAAAGCTCTTTAAAGAATGGTTCTCTCAATGTCTTCTCCCTCCCTGCCTTTCCTTGATGGCTCTTCCACCTTATTAAATCATTGTGTTTATCATTTATTTTGTCCATTTGCACTTTTCACATAACCATTTTCCTGTTTCTTATACTCTTCCTTATTACCATGTCCTGTGTTATGTCTCCTAGGTTTAATGAGTGTAAGAATGGGAATCTTAGGACCTCGTATCTGTCATATCTGTCAAAGCAAGAAACTGAAACTGAAACACACTGGCATTTCAGTTTCTTCCAAACTGTGAAATGGGGAATAAAAATTTAGAGAAGCACCGGCACTTCAATTTTCTCCTAGTTATAAAATGAAGAAAATTCAGCCTAGCTCATTTTCCCTCACTATTGTGAGCAGCTGTGTCGTGATACCATCCATGGGGGGCTGAGATTATAAAGCAACTCAGAGGTACAGTGGTCAGCACACTCCTTGTTACCTTTGCTAGCATGATCCACAGCAGTCAGAGTGCCACATGCCATGTGTACAGGTGGGCAGGGAGGAATACAAAAGGAGATGTTACTATTGACTGTTTGTTCATTCATGAAATAAATACTAACTGAACCCTTACTAAGTGCCAGGAACTTCAAGGCACAAGTGAATTGTCTTAACAACTTCAGATAGTATCATTCAGATGAAATCTATGGCTAAATTCAATAATTTATGGCACAATTTCTGTTAAGAGCAAACCATGAGCTATTAAGTCCTGCTATAGCAGTTTACATAATGGGGTAAACACAATGACAAGGATTCATCCATTTGGTGGGTGTGGCTGGGCTTCATCCTGACCTTGAGATGAGTGGGAGATGAGAAAGAAGGTCGTTGGTTGCAATTCTCTGTTTTTAATAGACAGAAACCTGAGCTTAAAGTTCAGTTATTTGGGGGTGAGTCCTGGGTCTAATATTTAGCAGCTGAGTGCCTTGGGCAGTCACTTCTTCTAGTAGTAAAGCAGACCAGGGACCCCCACTTAGAAGACCCTTACCATAATTACACAGAAGCCCCCACCATGTTTGTAACATATGAGTTTCTCTTCTTGTCAGAAAGATTTTTTACAAAGGGTATCAACAAGATATCAGCAAAAATTTTGGCAGAGGGCATGGTGGTTTGAATTTCCCTCTTGTTTATAAAGGCTAGATTTGAAGGGGAAAAAAAAAACTTGTAAAACCTCTGTCTGACATAGGAATATGGGACAAAGAGCATGACCCCTCCCACTACATGTAATCATCCCACTAACTATAAATCTAAAAGAATTTCCAGATTTGGGATCCAGAGATTTTTTTAGGCATTAACTTCCTCTGGACCTCTGCAGCTAATAATCCTGCTTCCTAAAAATTCCGCAGGTGACCAGCCTCTTCTGTCCTAGATTAGCAGAACTGGATTTTTTTTACTATAAAATGGTTTACGATAATATCTACTTAACAACTTGTGATTATAGAAATACAAGTGGAATTTATAGGCTAAAACCTCTGTAACACTCACTGACTGACTGCCTATCATCAGAGCCTGGTGTCTAGAGCAGACGCTATTCTCATTTTACAGCCAAGGAAACTCTGGCATGAAGGCAGCCAGAGGCTCAGCTCACTCAGAGCATTGAAGTGGAATTGGGGTACCAAGCCAGGTGCTCTGACTTGGTGACTTTCCACCAAATTTCTTCCATCTTCTGATGGTAGTATCCTGGACAAGGAGAGTTACAGTCACCTACAAGCAGATCTTGATGCCCATGAACACCTTTTGGCTGCTTTCATGAGGCCATAGGAGACGACAGGGATATGGTGTTCACTAAATAAGAACAAATCCGTTCCCATGGCCCTTGGAGGGGAAACCAAAGAAAGCACCCCGGACTGTTTTCCTGCTGCAATCCTCACACTTAGAGTCCAGGTATTTCATGAGGCAGCCTTGAAATCAGACGGCTGTTTCTTTGGACCAGCAACATGTCTAGTTGATCTTTGCCTAAAATTGAAACCAAGTTGTCTTCACTCCAGGAGGAGAGATCCCCATGATAGTTTGCTCTACTGTAGCAGGCGAGCAAGCTGTAGGAAAAGCTGCAGTTGCCTAGGCTCTTGTCACACCGGCAAAACAGCTAAAGCTTTACCTGACACCACATGGAGGAGGTTGAACACAGCAGCCAGGGACTTGGTCCACTCCTCCACGAAGCTGAAGAAGAGGCGATGAATGTGGATTGGGGCCCAACAGATGGCAAATGCTAAGAACAAGACAACTGAAACAGAGGATAAATGCTAGAGGAAAAGTCAGTGCAGACAAGGATAAGTACAGGCTGCTCACCAAGTCATCCATTCCTTCTAGCAGCTCTTCTCTCCGCCTGGGTTAACCCACAGTCCTTACAAGCAAGCTAGATCCCATGGAGCCCTTCATGGAAAATTCAAATGTAAGAGCTCAGTGGTAGAATGTAAGAACAGTTTTCTACATACAAGATTTCACAAAATGTTTTCTTTAGAATATTTAGCATAGATCTGAATTATTTTAAACTTTTGAAAGTAATTTATTGTGGGAAATCAAGTTCGCTAGAGTCATGTAAACATATAAATAAATGGTTGGGATCAAGCAGTTGGAGTTCTCTAAAACTGTTAATAACAAACTATTAAATGTTTATGTGCATTCATCTTGTTACTCTAGAAATAAAAGTTTCTCTAAATTTGATCATATAAAATTCAGTGAGTGGGGAAAGAGAAAGAAAAAATAACTCCAAGCATAATATCACTTTATATGTATCTTTTGATTGAGAGGGATGTGTCTATTATATTAAACATTTTTTAATATTTTATTTTTTAAACATTTTATTGCTAGAGCACAGAATTCCTTCCAATTTCTAATTTTTGGTGCTCAAAACATTGATTAGCACTGCTGTAGTTTTTCTTCTGAGCATTTAAACTCCATAAAGATAGATATGTATTTTTAATCTTATGGTGATTGGAAGATGTTCCTTTGCTGTGACATGCTACTTCAGATTTATCCCTAAATAATCTAATGGGCGGGGGAAAGAGTACAGATAAAACAACACTCGTGAGGAGTTGGTAATTTCTGGAGCTGAGTGATGGCACATGGCACTGATATTACAGTGCTCTGTACTTGTGAGCACTTTTGAAGTTGTCAGAGTGGATAGCACATGTATTTCCTGCTGGAATGAAACCCACTCCGAGTAAGTCATCTGCCTGTGCTGCGGTTTCAGGGATATGGAAACTCCTGAGTTTACCCCCCAAGGAGTTCTCAGTCTGCTCGATTCTGACTGTAACTTCTCTTACCTAAACTTTTAATTCCAGCAGAAATTGAAGCTCTCTTAGAGAAAAGACATTATGTTATATTTTGTTACTGTGACTTTTATTGTGATACAAGTCTCTTTGTGGGTAGATTATGATCAAAGAGGAGAGAAAAAAAAATGAAGGTTAGATTTGTTGCCAGCAAAAGTCATGTACCAATAGGAGCTAAAACATCCCCAATAAAATAATTATGAGCATCAAAAGACCAACATCAATGACTTTGCGGGGATTTTTTTAGTCAAATGGCACATTACCACATGTGTTCTGTATGCATATTTACCTTGAGGATTCATTTCTTTTGAATATTCACTTTTAATTTGGAAAGTACATGAGAAATCTCTCCCTTGTCAGAAAATCTCATGAACTAGTACTGGACTAGATTGATGAAATAAATATATATTTTGATAATATTATTTTTGGAGAGTATGGATTAGTACCTGGGGGATTTCTTTTAAACATTTTATCTATACAAAAGTATACTTTTTGATACGAAGTTACAGATTGTCTTCATGGAAAGACTAGTTAGAGGTATTCCTGGCCAGATGTTCCTAATCAGGAGTCCATGCGTCAGCATGTGTGTCCATGTGTGAGCATCAGGGGGTCATGATCTCCAGAAATGAACTATAAAATAATTTGTGCCTGAGCATTTAAATGTGTTTTGGTTGCAGAGTCCACTGCTTTATCATATTTTTAAAGAAAGTCATAACACAAACAGGTTAAAAGCCTCCTGTTGAGTTTGTAGAGGGGAAATGGTGCTGGGAGTCTGAGAGTGAATGTGACCTCCCACACAGGTCAGGGAGGGTCCTCCAGTGAATACATGTAGCATATGGTTCTAAGGATTCCAAACTAAAAAGGAAACTACAAGACAAGTACCAGAAACTTGAATTAGACACTAGACTGAGATGCTAGACTGCACAGCGGCACATGCCCATAATCCCCCCTGACTCAAGAAGCTCAGGCAGGAGGATGCAAGTTCAAGGACAGACTCAGCAACCAAGAGAGGCAATGTCTTGGAATAAATTTTAAAAGGAAAGAGCTGGGGATGTAGCTCAGTGGCAAAATGCCCCTGGGTTCAATTCCCCCTACCACAGGTCGGGGTGTGGGTCAGGGAAGACTGGGACGTTTCAGGGAAATTTAGAGCCTGACCCAAGCAGCACTGGTCAGAAACAAATGCAAGTCCTTTGCTCTTGCAAGCAAAAGAAAAGAAAATATAAAGTGAGGACTTACAGAGCATCTTGTATCTTTTTCTGGCGGGTCTATGGATAACTCCAGTCACTTTATCTGCCTCAAGGAATTTATTTTTCTTCAGCTGAAAGGGAAATGGAGAGAGATGGTAAGAACAGGAAGCATTTTTTTAAGATATGAAAAGTATAATTCTAATGCTAATTTTGAAAATGAAATAAATCAGATTTAGAGGAATGTAAGAACATGTTATAAGTTTAACAGTAAATTGGAAGCAGAATTTGATCCAGGTCACTGAACTTGACTGGATACATGCTACTTTGTATTTTGCCAGACTGTATAGTGGGTTCCCTCATGGCAATACAACCAGTTTTTATTTACAATTTGATAGAGCACTAGTTCTGTGGTATATTAATAAGTGTTTCCTAAAAAATGTTAGCATTTTTTTTAACTTCAGAATTTATCTAGGCCTTTCCATTCACTCATTCATTTATTCACTTTTAGATGTCTATTAGAGTGAAGTCCCTCTGCAGGTGGGAGCCAGGAAGTAGAAAACAAAAGCAGGTACTCTTCCTGCCTCATGTAGGTTATAAGTCCCATGGTGGGTCTTCTAGAGCCTTTGATATGCTCATGGGCATTAGGATCCTTCAAGGGGAAATGGGGTACCATCCCTCCCCACTGTCCAAACCCACATCTTCCATTTCATCCCAGCCAAGGGAAGAAGAGTTTGACTAAATGCCTTCCCCAAATCCTCATCAGTGAATTGCCTGGAACCATACTGACAAGATAATTTGCTGTTTTCTTGTTTTAAAATAAATGCATGTTTTTCTGAGTTTAGGTGTTAAAATGTATTCATCCTAATTGGACTAGACCTCTGAATATTTCAGATATCAACACTGCCTGAACATCAAACTTTCCTGCCCAGTTCAAGTTCCACCTACTCCTGGAAGACTTTGGTGTATACATTATCTCATTGTGCTCTCTCCTTCCTCCTGACTCCCATAGAACTAAAGATCTTTATTATTGATCTAGTTGTGATTTTTTTCTTTCTAATTTATGTTTATTTTGATTTGTGGGGATATTCAGCCAGAAAATGGGAATTTTAAGGATCCATGATAAAATATAGTCAAATGTATTGAAATTAATATAGTATATACTTACCTGTTGATTCCCTAGAATTTATTTTATCAGTAGCATCCTAATTTTCTTGTAGTAGTTTACTCCTTCCCCATACTCAGTCATTAGTTTGGATGAGAATGAACCCAACTCTGGCTCCAGGAATTGTCCTTAAGTTACTGAGGCACACATACTGTCTTAGTCCATAGTTACAGTGACTTGATAACTGGGTCCAGCAACCTTTCACATATTTGCTTATATTCTGGAAATGGAAATTTGATTTCTATTTCTATTGGGACAGCAGGAGACAGCTTTCTTCTCTGAATGTAAAGTCTGAAATTCCGTCAGCTACCTTTTATTTGTCAGAGAAGAGAATTTGGAGCCACCAGTGTGCTGCTGTGTGGAGATGAGAGTTAAAAGCAGTACAATAGAAAGAAGAGTGAAGAAAGAGAAACAAGGCAGGTCCTCCATGTTGTGTGCTTTACTGGATTAATTTTTGCCAGGGGCCAGATCTACATACTGACTTTTCAGATCTCTGGCTCTTTTGTCTTTTGCAAGCCTGAGAAGAGGGTTCCCTCATGGCAAAACAACAGTCCTAACTGAGTGAATAAGGCCATCCAGTGGAAGAAAATTTCCAATTATCCTATATTATCTCATGACTAAATTAGGATTAGTCCGACTTATAACTAGATTGATTCAAATTCAAGGCAAATAAGTAGTCAGTGTGATCCTGTGCACTAATGGAACATGGCTGTAAGAGGCTAGATGGCATTTCAAGGGAATATTTTAGAGGAGGTATTTAAAATGAGATGAGACCTGGAACAGTGGCTCAAAATTGCCTCTAAGGTTCAATAAATTGATATTCTGTCTCCCTAACAAATATATAAACTACTGGAAGACGGGTAGTTCTCATGACACCATGGGCCTAAGTGTCCACCTGGATGGCTAACAAGCTTGGCCATCTATCTCATGATGGTGAGAGGGTTCTATGCATGTGCCTATGTTTTTGTAAAGTAAGGGATTGAAGATGCTATGAGACGGGACCCTTTGGAGTCCCCTAGAACTTGAAACAAAGGAATCGCTATGCAGTGATTTAGAAATAAAAGAGGAAACTGAAGGTGTGGTAGGATGTTTTTAATACACACTCTTCCAGTGTTATTTAATAGTGTATCTCAGTGCCTGGAATTTGACACTCAGCAAATGACATCTAATGGCTATTATTGTGATTCTGGTTGTTGTTCCAAGCCCACTCAAAATACATAATGAAAACTGAATTTCTCTTAAATATAATTATTTATTTACATAAGTGTGACTTTGGTGTGTATTAGTGAGTTCTTTTTAGAAATTCTTTCTCCTGCTATCACTCATGGAAAAGCAGTGCTGTCCTGATGCAAACCAGCAGTTAGATGCACTAAGAAAAATAAGTTCAGGGTTAAAGCAGCACATCAGACTACATCCTTCAGCAGTGCGTGGTCCATTAAGTCTCTTAATTATTTCTTGCTCTTAAAAATTCTAGCTATTATGAGATAGTTATTTCATAATTAATAATGACAAAATAATGAAGTCTATTAATCACTTCTTGGCTGGGTTTAACAGTTCTCAGTGGAAATATCTCTACCCCAAGGGATAAATTTCCTAAATATCAAGCAAACAGTTCACATGGCTCTTTTATGAACAGGCTCCCTGTGCAAGTGTGCTTTGCACTGAAAGAAAAACGCCTGTTGTTATTTTGCATCTTCCTTAGAGGACAGCAACATGAGTCACTAACTGGAGGAAAAATGAAAATTAAAGTTTTATATATGTTATAAATTTTTTCAGAGTATTTGAGTGGTTTACATAATAGAATATAATTTGCCTAACCAATGTTACATGCTCTTTTTATTACTGAGTAATTTCATTTACTGTCAGATGTAGAACAAAGCAGGTATTCAATCATTAATTGCTTCTACCCTCTCCCAAAGTTTTATTTCAAAACTTGGATAGCACAAAGAGGAGTAAAAACTATGGTCACTATAAGGAAAGTTCAGGAGCTTTCCTTCCTTCCCCACCCCCAGCTATAGAGCATCCAAGTGGCAGGGGAGTTCATGGGCCCGATTATCATTCAGTTTGGTCTTTTATCCTGTTCATTTTTTTTTATAGTGATTGAAATCATCCTACCAGATGTTTGTTTGCAGAGTTTATAGGGTTTCATTTCAGAACACCAAGATATAATAGATTTTGTGTAACTATCTCTACAATCTTAATGCAATCTATTTATCAAAAATTTACTTGTGTGTGTAGGTATGAGCATGTCTGTGTGTGTATGAGCACAACCCTGTCTGGCGCGGTTGGATTGTGCTGCAGTCCACACCTGCATCCTTTCAGTGCTAACACTAAAGTGGCTAAACTTTGAAACACAAGGACGAGGTCAGCCTTACCACACCCCCTCCTACGTGGGAAGGGACTTGCCCTGGCATCGTCTGATTTCTGTATCCATAACATGCTGCCCCAGGAGAGGGCCCTGTGGAGAATTAAGCCCTGGGATGAGGAGGCATCGCTGAGCCTTCTTCCTCCCTGGGCTTGTGAAGTCATCAGTTCTGGGCTTGCTGTCGTGGGACCCAAAGTCACACTTTTAGATTTGCCAAGAGCGTTAATAACTTTAAATATCTTTAGGATTGCTTGAATCTCTTTAAATATCATAGGTGAAATTATTCTTGTGAATTTGCTAAACTCTTACATCCTATCATTATTAGGAACATAAAACTGCCTGGGATGATTGAGATTTTTGTGAGGGGCATCCTGTGGAATCAGATGGTTCTGAGGATATATGTGTATGTGCTACTTAATGGGAATAGAAGAACTAATAGTATCAGTAGCAACCACATAATGAGGGCTTACTCTGCCCCAGGTATCTCTGTTTGCATTACCTCTATTTTGCAGTAATTGTACAGAGTAGATGTTATTCTCATTATATTAACCAGGAAACAGAGTCTCAGAGGGGTTGAGTCAATGGCAGAGTCAAGGAACTGTTATGTGTCAAGACTGAATTGGGATTCAGAACTGATTGATCATAAACTCTGCATTTTTTTCCTACTACTCGAATAAGTGGGAAAAAAAACAAGGGAGAGAAATGAAGTACAGTGGATGGGGTAGAGAGAGAAGATGGGAGGGGAGGGGAGGGGAGGGAGGATAGTAGAGGATAGGAAAGGCAGCAGAATACAACAGACACTAGTATGGCAGTATGTAAAAACGTGGATGTATAACCGATGTGATTCTGCAATCTGTATACGGGGGAAAAATGGGAGTTCATAACCCACTTGAATCAAATTATGAAATATGATATGTCAAGAGCTATGTAATGTTTTGAACAACTAATGATAAAAAAAATTTATTTTTTCAGACAATGAATCTGAACAACAAAAAATAGTGTCTGTGCTTAGAAGTACCAATGATAGCTCTTATAAGTAGCAATAGTAACAGCCAAAACAAAAACTCAATTACTGAGCACCTTTAAAATACCAGAAACTTTGTGTTCATCATCTGCAAAATTCATAATAACATAATATCATAATAATGTTATTTAAAGATGATTTTCATTCCTGTTTTACAAACAAGGAACAGAGACCTAAAATGGCTGAAGATTTGCTCCAATAGATAACTGGTAGTTGATGGAGTTGAATTTTAGACCCAGGTCTACAGTATCCAGGTTCTAAATCTCAACCATTCCTTACTGATGAAAACTGGCAAAAGTGTCCCCAGATTTAGTGGTTTTAACTAATAATGCCTGAGGAAAAGGGTCCCACATTCCTAACTGGGGAGTCAAGCCAAGTAATGAAATTCTGTGGAATGTAAGAGAAGGGGTGCACATCTCTGAGTGTGCTTTCTTCCCAGCTTGAAAAGTGCCTGAGAAGGAAGGGAAGTGACTGTATTTAAAAGAAGTTCTGAGTCATTGAGATGGGAAACCTCTCCCACAATTAGATCAGCCTGCCTCTGGGGGCAGGGATGGAATGAAGCAAATTGGATCTTCCAACA